AAACCGTGTAAAGAGTATGGTTTTCCGATACCCTCCTCGCTCAGGCGGGGCCTCCCTGGAGGGGTGGGAGGGGCACGAAACCATGTAAATAGTATGGTTTTCGGATACCCTCCTCGCTCAGGCGGGGCCTCCCTGGAGGGGTGGGAGGGGCACGAAACCATGTAAATAGTATGGTTTTCCGATACCCTCCTCGCTCAGGCGGGGCCTCCCTGCAGGGGTGGGAGGGGCACGAAACCATGTAAATAGTATGGTTTTCGGATACCCTCCTCGCTCAGGCGGGGCCTCCCTGGAGAGGTGGGAGGGGCACGAAACCATGTAAATAGTATGGTTTTCGGATACCCTCCTCGCTCAGGCGGGGCCTCCCTGCAGGGGTGGGAGGGGCACGAAACCATGTAAATAGTATGGTTTTCGGATACCCTCCTCGCTCAGGCGGGGCCTCCCTGGAGAGGTGGGAGGGGCACGAAACCATGTAAATAGTATGGTTTTCGGATACCCTCCTCGCTCAGGCGGGGCCTCCCTGGAGGTGTGGGAGGGGCACGAAACCATGTAAATAGTATGGTTTTGCCTCCCTGGAGAGGTGGGATGGGGCACGAAACCATGTAAATAGTATGGTTTTCGGATACCCTCCTCGCTCAGGCGGGGCCTCCCTGGAGGGGTGGGAGGGGCACGAAACCATGTAAATAGTATGGTTTTCGGATACCCTCCTCGCTCAGGCGGGGCCCCCCTGGAGAGGTGGGAGGGGCACGAAACCATGTAAATAGTATGGTTTTCGGATACCCTCCTCGCTCAGGCGGGGCCTCCCTGGAGGGTGGGAGGGGCACGAAACCATGTAAATAGTATGGTTTTCCGATACCCTCCTCGCTCGGTATGGTACGGTATGGTATGATATGGTATGGTATGGTACTGGATATGGTATGGTATGGTACGGTGTGGCATTGGTATGGTATGGTATGCTATGGTACGCCATGGTATGGTATGGTACGGTATGGTACGTATGGTGATGTATGGTATGGTATGGTATGGTATGGTATGTGTAGTAGGAACTATTGTATGGTATGGTGTGTGTGGTAGGAATAATATTGTGCTGTATGGAAGATGGAGTGGGAGGTGGGTGGGAAGGAGAGGGTGTTCTGGGAAAACAAGAACCCCACTCAGGATGTGGGGAAAAACGGACATTCCCCGGTAGCACCGGGGAATGTCCGATTCCTGCGGCGTTTCTTTTGCGAATGTTTCGAGCGGGGTCGGGCCGCAAAGTCTTCGAAAGCCAACTGGTTGGCTTACGTGTGACCATTCGGTTTCCGAAAAATCATACCGGGGAATGTCTGATCTCGGTCTGCTCGCGCGCTGTAGTACTGGTGTTGGTAATGGTGGTGGGAATGATAGTGGTGATGGTTGTGGTAGTGGGCGTGGTAGTGGTAGTGGTAGTGGTGGGTGTAGTGGTAGTGATGGTGGTAGTGGTAGTAGTAGTGGTAGTAGTAGTAGTAGTAGTAGTAGTTGTTGTAGTAGTAGTAGTAGTAGTAGTAGGAGTAGTAGTAGTGGTAGTAGTAGCGGTAGTAGTAGTAGTAGTAGTAGTAGTAGTAGTAGTAGTAGTAGTAGTAGTTGTCGTGGCTGTAGTAGTCGTAAGTGTTGTAGTCAGGAGCAGTGAGTAGTTGTAGTAGTAGTAGTAGAATAGTAGAAGTAGAAAGTTAGTAGGAGTAGTAGTGGTAGTGTAGTAGTAGTAGGTAGTAGTAGTAGCAGTAGGTAGTAGTAGTAGTAGTTAGTAGTCGTAGTAGTTAGAGAGTTAGTAGAGTAGTAGTAGTAGTAGTTGTAGTAGTCGTTAGTATATGGTAGTAGTATTTGTAAATAGTAGTAGTAGTAGTTAGTAGTAGTCGTCGTAAGGGTAGTAGTAGTAGATAGTAGTAGGTAGTGTAGTTGTGGTTGTTTGTAGTAATAGTAGTAGCGGCAGTTGTTGTAGTAGGTGTAGTAGTGTTGTTGTAGCAGTAGATAGTAGTAGTAGTAGTAGTTGTAGAGAATAGTAGGAGAGGTAGTAGTTAGTCATGTAGTTAGTAGTAGTAGGAGTGTAGTGTAGTAGTTTTAGTAGTAGTAGTAGTAGTAATAGTAGTCGTCAGGGGACGTAGGTTCGTAGGGTCGTAAATCGTAGTGGCGTAGTCGTAGTCGTAGTCGTAGTAGTAGTAGTAGTAGTCGTCGTAGTAGTAGTTGAAGTAGTAGTTGTAGTAGTAGTAGTAGTAGTAGTAGCACTAGGAGGAGGAGTAGTAGCAGAAGTAGCAGTAGTAGTAGCAGTAGTAGTAGTAGTAGTTGCAGCAGCAGTAGTAGTACTAGGAGGTGGAGTAGTAGTAGCAAGAATATCCGTAGTAGTGGTAGTAGTAGTAATAGCAGTAGTAGTAGTAGTCGTAGTAATAGTAGAAGTAGTAATAGTAGTGGTAGTAGTAGCCGTAGTAGTAGTAGTAGTAGTAGTAGTAGTAGTAGAAGAAGTAGTAGTGGCAGTATTAGCAGTAGCACGAGGAGTAGTAGTAGTAGTAGTAGTAGTAGTAGTAGTAGTAATAGTCGTAGTAGTAGTAGTAGTAGTAGTAGTAGTAGTAGTAGTAGTAGTGGTAGTAGTAGTAGTAATAGTAGTAGTGGTAATGGTAGTCGTAGTAGCAGTAGTAGTAGCAGTAGTCGTCGT